AATTGTAGACCTGCACCAGGCTGGGAAGACTGAATCTGCAATAGGTAAGCAGCTTGGTTTGAAGAAATCAACTGTGGGAGCAATTATTAAGAAATGGAAGACATACAAGACCACTGATAATCTCCCTCGATCTGGGACTCCACACAAGATCTCACCCCGTGGGGTCAAAATGATCACAAGAACGGTGAGCAAAAATCCCAGAACCACACAGGGGGACCTAGTGAATGACCTGCAGAGAGCTGGGACCAAAGTAACAAAGCCTACCATCAGTAACACACTACGCCGCCAGGGACTCAAATCCTGCAGTGCCAGACGTGTCCCCCTGCTTAAGCCAGTACATGTCCAGGCCCGTCTGAATTTTGCTGGAGTGCATTTGGATGATCCAGAAGAGGATTGGGAGAATGTCATATGGTCAGATGAAACCAAAATATAACTTTTTGGTAAAAACTCAACTCGTCGTGTTTGGAGGACAAAGAATGCTGAGTTGCATCCAAAGAACACCATACCTACTGGGAAGCATGGGGGTGGAAACATCATGCTTTGGGGCTGTTTTTCTGCAAAGGGACCAGGACGACTGATCCGTGTAAAGGAAAGAATGAATGGGGCCATGTATCGTGAGATTTTGAGTGAAAACCTCCTTCCATCAGCAAGGGCATTGAAGATGAAACGTGGCTGGGTTTTTTCAGCATGACAATGATCCCAAACACACCGCCCGGGCAACGAAGGAGTGGCTTCGTAAGAAGCATTTCAAGGTCCTGGAGTGGCCTAGCCAGTCTCCAGATCTCAACCCCATAGAAAATCTTTGGAGGGAGTTGAAAGTCTGTGTTGCCCAGCGACAGCCCCAAAACATCACTGCTCTAGAGGAGACCTGCATGGAGGAATGGGCCAAAATACCAGCAACAGTGTGTGAAAACCTTGTGAAGACTTACAGAAAACGTTTGACCTGTGTCATTGCCAACAAAGGGTATATAACAAAGTATTGAGAAACTTTTGTTATTGACCAAATACTTATTTTCCACCATAATTTGCAAATAATGGAGAAAAAAAATCTAATTTTGTCTGTCATACTTGACGTGTCCCTATTATGAAAATTACAGGCCTCTCTCATCTTTTTAAGTGGGAGAACTTGCACAATTGGTGGCTGACTAAATACTTTTTTTCCCCACTGTATATTCACCCAATATGATTTTAACTAGCTTGATAAGCTAGCTAACATTGCTTATAGTAAAGTTAGCTAGCTTGCTTAACATTGACATTATGGCAAAACTAGCTACATTACCCATATTATTGTCAAAAACCGACTTGTTGTCATCCGTTGGTTGAAAGGGTAAAAGGTCAGTGGTGACACTCGGCAATTCGGGCAACAACATTTTCTCAGTGCCCCCTTGGAGGGTCAAGTGAAACTTCCCAGTCCGAAATAGGAACTGACGATAACTCCGATAGCACGTGAAAACAGCATTAGCTGCTGGACTATACACTGTGACTGAACAATTCAAGCCTGTATTTCGATTTCTTTTTATTATGGGACTGTTTTTTTTTTATTTTTCAGAAATGTAATACTTCAACATGAAAGCACATACTGTATGTGATTTTGTGACTTTTTGTCATGTGCTGTAGGCCAGGGTTATTTTTTTAAGCACATTTACATTTACATTTACATCATTTAGCAGACGCTCTTATCCAGAGCGACTTACAAATTGGAAAACATCTCGTGCTATTCTACACATTTTGCCATGGCTTATGCCATGTTCTATCTGAGCAGCACCGGCTATAGCCTTTGGGTTTTGGTTGGGGGCTTCTCCACCTGCCGCCAGAAATAATAATAATAAGCCCAGTAGGCTAGTGCAATTTTGGTTTCATGTAGGCCTATTGGTATGAAAATAAACAACTGAACAACTTGCTATTTAGAGCATTTCCCCAAAATACATGTCTTGTTTTTGGCTTCAAAGACAATAACAGTTGTAGGCTATAACAATTGTGCATTGTCATGCAGTGACAGAATGACAATTGAGATAATGCAAATAGTTAATGATCACCTAGTTGGGCTAACTTTTTAACTACTTGCTGTATGCCAACATCATCATCCTCTGCCTTCATCCCTACCTGTAGCCTACCTGCCTCTGGTATAATGCATTTCCACCTCTCACTCTATCAGTCTTACTTCTCCAGCTTCCTGAATTAAATGTGATATTCTAACAGATCAATCTTGCTGGCAAAACATCATTACATTTTGCTAAGTTATTTATCTATAGTGTGGATGTAGGGCAGTTTTTTGGGGGGTATATATTGAGCACCCAGATGCTGCATAGGCAACACAATAATGTCCGACAGAGAAGTTGGCCCGAGGAAAATGTTTTGCAGGCGGCCTCCGCGTTGGCTGCAATATTAATATTCTCGGAGCAGTCTTGTTGATACAAAATGTTTCAATATTCTCAGAAACACCTTATTGATGCAATGCTTCAATATTCGCAGAATGTTTCCCTTCCCTGGCGAATAACGCAGACAGGCAAATACAAAAATGAGTTGGGTGCACACCTTACAGTGAGGGAAAAAAGTATTTGATTCCCTGCTGATTTTGTACATTTTCCCACTGACAAAGACATGATCAGCCTATAATTTTAATGGTAGATTTATTTGAACAGTGAGAGACAGAATAACAACAACAAAAATCCAGAAAAACGCATGTCCAAATTTTTATAAATTGATTTGCATTTTAATGAGGGAAATAAGTATTTGACCCCTCTGCAAAACATGACTTAGTACTTGGTGGCAAAACCCTTGTTGGCAATCACAGAGGTCAGATGTTTCTTGTAGTTGGCCACAAGGTTTGCACACATCTCAGGACGGATTTTGTTCCACTCCTCTTTGCAGATCTTCTCCAAGTCATTAAGGTTTTGAGCCTGACGTTTGGCAACTCGAACCTTTCAACTCCCTCCACAGATTTTCTATGGGATTAAGGTCTGGAGACTGGCTAGGCCACTCCAGGACCTTAATGTGCTTCTTCTTGAGCCACTCCTTTGTTGCCTTGGCCGTGTGTTTTGGGTCATTGTCATGCTGGAATACCCATCCACAACCCATTTTCAATGCCCTGGCTGAGGGAAGGATGTTCTCACCCAAGATTTGACGGTACATGGCCCCGTCCATCGTCCCTTTGATGCGGTGAAGTTGTCCTGTCCCCTTAGCAGAAAAACACCTCCAAAGCATAATGTTTCCACCTCCATGTTTGACGGTGGGGATGGTGTTCTTGGGGTCATAGGCAGCATTCCTCCTCCTCCAAACACGGCGAGTTGAGTTTGCCAAAGAGCTCGATTTTGGTCTCATCTGACCACAACACTTTCACCCAGTTCTCCTCTGAATCATTCAGATGTTCATTGGCAAACTTCAGACGGCCCTGTATATGTGCTTTCTTGAGCAGGGGGACCTTGCGGGCGCTGCAGGATTTCAGTCCTTCACGGCGTAGTGTGTTACCAATTGTTTTCTTGGTGACTATGGCCCCAGCTGCCTTGAGATCATTGACAAGATCCTCCCGTGTAGTTCTGGGCTGATTCCTCACCGTTGTCATGATCATTGCAACTCCACAAGGTGAGATATTGCATGGAGCCCCAGGCCGAGGGAGATTGACAGGTCTTTTGTGTTTCTACCATTTGTGAATAATCGCACCAACTGTTGTCACCTTCTCACCAAGCTGCTTGGCGATGGTCTTGTAGCCCATTCCAGCCTTGTGTAGGTCTACAATCCTGTCCCTGACATCCTTGGGGAGCTCTTTGGTCTTGGCCATGGTGGAGAGTTTGGAATCTGATTGATTGATTGCTTCTGTGGACAGGTGTCTTTTATACAGGTAACAAGCTAAGATTAGGAGCACTCCCTTTAAGAGTGTGCTCCTAATCTCAGCTCGTTACCTGTATAAAAGACACCTGGGAGCCAGAAATCTTTCTGATTGAGAGGGGGTCCAATACTTATTCCCCTGCAAATCAATTTATAACATCTTTGACATGCATTTTTTCTGGATTTCTTTGTTGTTATTCTGTCTCTCACTGTTCAAATAAACCTACCATTAAAATTATAAACGGATAATTTCTTTTTCAGTGGGTAAACGTACAAAATCAGCAGGGGATCAAATATATTTGTTCCCTCACTGTATAAGGAACATCTCTGAATGCAGAGCAACAATGTTGGTGGGAAAAGCACGAGACAATGACACTGTAATTGTACACTGTAATAGTACACTGTATGCGCCGTTCCACAAGGGTGACTTCATATGGCCTATAGCAGGGGGTCTTTTTCATATGAGTGACAATTTACAGTTGATCCAACAATTTCTAAAGATCTGCGTGCCAGTTATGATTTTCATATAAGCATTGTTGGCTACTGAACTGTGCCCAGAAAATTTATAATTGGCCCAAAAACTGAATAGCCTAATTTTAGCTACAGAGAGGCTGTCCATTCACCCAACAGAGCTCCACTATACCAAGGCGCTGTCCATTCAGCGATGCTGAATCACGGGCGCTGCCTTAATGTGTAGATCTGTCTTCATTCCTTGGTGGAGTTTGTTTGTCTTTATACCTCTTCGTCGATTGTAGGCCTGAGTAATTCCTTTGGTGTTTGCCTTTTATTTCAGGGCATGTGTAGGATTTAGCTGGCAGCTGTTTTATGCTCCGGTTACTTTCACATTGATGTTGATATTTCACATTGATGTCAGTATTTGGAGTTGGCCTTGATAGTGTATATTATGCATATATTTCATGTTGCACTGTTCCACAAGTAGGCTAAATTAGTCAATGTAGCCTATGTATGATGAGGTTGAGTATAACATTGTACACGCCATTCCACAAACCTTTAAACCAAATATAACCCACCCCCAACTACTCCCGCGGCTATGGATTTGATAAGATAGGAGACAATTGAGTGGAATTAACCATGTTGGACCATCGAGTCCAAGTCCGAGTCGAGTCCATTCCATTTCACCAATTGTAAATGGTGTCTTTAAAGCCTGTGCTGACATGAATCCCTTTCAGAAGAAGTCAGATCCAGTGCTCCACTGTGAGGATGTTGAGCTCACTACACCCCCTACTGGTCTTCTGGATCTGCAACCATGCCGCCCCCATATACAACAACGGCTTCTTCTACCATAACATCATGAATGGCGATGGCAACGGAGAGAGTATGTAATACAGTATATTCATTAATACACAGATACCCTGTTCACACTACAGAGTCTAGCTAAGCTGAGCCAAGCTGTACTGGGCTGACCTGATTATGCATCCACCAAAGTTTGCTGAAACTGCTGGAAAAGAAAATATCAGAGCTAGCACAGTTTGGTTTGGATTGGCACGAAAATGTTAAAAGGGTATAATGATCTTAAGTGGAGCCCACTCACATATAGGATCAAATTCCATTCCATTGAGTGTGACAATCCTGACCATGCCTAAGGTGTAGCAGACAACACACCATCTGGAGTGGCATTCATTTATTCAACATGTGCTACACAGTATGTTTTGTAAATACAGCTGCACAACTGAGAGCAGGTTAGATATTATAGGTGCACCATTCCCAAGAGTTCCAAAAACGGTCTGATTACCTGGGAAGACCCAAATACACTGAAGGCAGACCCAAGTTCCTACTTTCTACTGGGGCTCTGGTCTGATCATATGGTCAGGAATAATTCCTGGTTCCTATCCAGTATCTACTGTACCAAATAACTCTTATCTATCCTGTGTCCTGTCCTTGTCTGTGTCTTCTCCAGTCTACTTTAACGGGGTGCGTCTCCACGTGGAGTCCTCCCAGCCCTCGGTGTTGGCGGCCAGGGGCAGTAACATCACCCTGCCCTGTCACTACCGCTACGAGCCCGAGATCAACGGGCCCCGCCGGACCCGGGTCAAATGGTCTTGGCTACCCGCCAACGGCGCCGGTAAGACCGCCCGCGAAACAGACGTGATGGTCGCCATGGGCAACCGTCACCGTAGCTACGGCAGCTTCCAGGGGCGGGTGCGCCTGCGTCGGGCTGCGCCGGGGGACATGTCTTTGGTGATCAACGAGCTGCACGAGAACGACACGGGCCGCTACCGCTGTGAGGTCATCGACGGGCTGGAAGACGAGAGCGTGACGGTGGAGCTGGAGCTGCGAGGTGTGTGTTTTTGTCTGTCTGTCTGCTCCCTCAACAGATCACAGGGGTCACTCCGTTCAGTATAGGGAAGTGACAAATGTAAACATTTTCTTGACATTTAAACAGCCATTTTTTTTATAGTTTAAATATTTAAACGATAATATATACACTACCAGTCAAAAGTTTGGACACACCTACTCATTCAAGGCTTTTTCTTTATTTTTAAAATTTTTTACATTGTAGAATATATGATGTGAAGACATCAAAACTATGAAATAACACATATGGAATCATGTAGTAACCAGAAATATTTTATATTTGAGATTCTTCAAATAGCCACCCTTTCCCTTGATGACAGCTTTGCACACTCTTGGCATTCTCTCAACCAGCTTCACCTGGAATGCTTTTCCAACAGTCTTGAAGGAGTTCCCAAACCATCTTAATTGGGTTGAGGTCGGGGGATTGTGGAGGCCAGGTCATCTGATGCAGCACTCCATCATTCTCCTTCTTGGTAAAATAGCCCTAACACAGCCTGGAGGTGTGTTGGGTCATTGTCCTGTTGAAAGCCCAAACCAGATGTGATGGCGTATCGCTGCAGAATGCTATGGTAGCCATGCTGGTTAAGTGTGCCTTGAATTCTAAATAAATCGCAGACAGTGTCACCAGCAAAGCACCCCCACACCATAACACCTCCTCCTCCATGCTTTACGGTGGGAACTACACATGCAGAGATCATCTGTTCACACACACCACGTAGGGATGGTGTTCTCAGGGTGATGAGAGGTGTTGGGTTTGCGCCAGACATAGCATTTTCCTTGATGGCCAAAAAGCTCAATTTTAGTCTCATCTGACCAGAGTACCTTCTTCCATATGTTTGGGGAGTATCCCACATGCCTTTTGGTGAACACCAAACATGTTTGCTTATTGTTTTCTTTTTACTGGCCACTGTTCCGTAAAACCCAGCTCTGTGGAGTGTACGGCTTAAAGTGGTCCTATGGACAGATACTCCAATCTCTGCTGTGGAGCTTTGCAGCTCCTTCAGGGTTATCTTTGGTCTCTTTGTTGCCTCTCTGATTAATGCCCTCCTTGCCTGGTCTGTGGGTTTTGGTGGGCGGCCCTCTCTTGGGAGGTTTGTTGTGGTGCCATATTCTTTCCATTTTTTAAATAATGGATTTAATGGTGCTCCATGGGATGTTCAAAGTTTCTGATATTTTTTTATAACCCAACCCTGATCTGTACTTCTCCACAACTTTGTCTGACCTGTTTGGAGAGCTCCTTGGTCTTCATGGTGCCACTTGCTTGGTTGTGCCCCTTGCTTAGTGGTGTTGCAGACTCTGGGGCCTTTCAGAACAGGTGTATATATACTGAGAGGATGTGACAGATCATGTGACACTTAGATTGCACACAGGTGGACTTTTTAAACTAATTATGTGACTTCTGAAGGTAATTGGTTGCACCAGATCTTATTTAGGGGCTTCATAGCAAAGGGGGTGAATACATATGCACGCACCACTTTTCCGTTATTTATTTTTTAGAATTTTTGGAAACAAGTAATTTTCTTAATTTCACTTCACCAATTTGGACTATTTTGTGTATGTCCATTACATTAAATCCAAATAAAAATCCATTTAAATTAAAGGTTGTAATGAAACAAAATAGGAAAAACGCCAAGGGGGATGAATACTTTTGCAAGGCACTGTACATGCCATCAGGGCATTGAAGGGGACATCCTCTACCATTGACAATGGCTGCATATCAACTGCCATCATTTCTGTAATCAGCGCTGTGATTTTCTCACTCCGTCCTTTATCGCACTTCTTTGAAGTGAAGAGCCTTTCTAATGTCTATTGTTGGGGGCCTGCGCTGCTGCCAGCAATGGTTTGGGTCTCACAGTGCCTCCCTTTCAGATGATTAAGCATTGCACCTGTACTGCCACTGTAGCTCAATTCCACCTCGCAAAGTTTGCATTTCACCACCTTCTCATTTAACTTCTCAAAGTATTGCCATACAGGACTTCGCTGCTGTCGCTTCCCTGTCTCACTCTCTGCTATTTTTCCAACTGTTAACGACGATGGAGTGCGGAGTGCTTTATATCCGTGGAAAATAATTTGAAAGATATATATATTTTACTAACCTTACAGCTTTGTTGCATTAGGTATTTGTTTAATTAAACATGTTCCGTTTATGATGATGATCGGGACCTTTTAACTGCACTGTGTTTTTAATTTAGTAAAAAAAACAACAACATTCGGTTAAGGAGTTTATCTAAACGGTAACGATCCCAATTTTGTTTAAACGTTTAAACGTTCACATCCCTAGTTCAAGCTGTGGTCTGTTTTTTAAATGACCTTTAACCTATTGTCCTTACGACTGTCATGACTGGCATTTGTCACTGCAAGGACAGTTGCTGGATCCAATAGCACTTTAACCCCTCCAGCAAATGTCTCACTTTATCCCCGTTATAGGAGTGGTATTTCCCTACCGTTCCAAGAAGGGACGCTACCATTTCAACTTCCTGGGGGCCCAACATGCTTGTGAGGAGCAGGACTCAACCCTGGCCACCTTTGAGCAGCTCTTTGCCACCTGGGAGGAGGGGCTAGACTGGTGCAACGCTGGTTGGTTGGCAGACGGGACTGCTCAGTACCCAATCACCACACCGCGGGAGGCCTGTGGGGGCGTGGACTTATCCCCCGGTCTCCGTAGTTACGGACAACGCCACCGCCACCTCCACCTCTTTGACGCCTTCTGTTTCTCAGCCGCCCCAAAGGGTCAGTGTGTGTGTGTGTGTGTGGGTCTGAGTGTGTGTCTGTGTGTGCATGTGTTTGTGTGTGCGTATTGGTCTCCAAAAAACATCTCACCTTGAAAATGTGTGCACTCACTAACTGTAAAAGTCGCTCTGGATAAGAGTGTCTGCTAAATGACTAAAATGTAATGTAAAATGAAACCAAAACACATACAAAACACTTCCGCAAAAAGAAGTGTAACAGGACTTGTAATTGAGAAATGTGAATGATTGGAATTGTCAAACTTTGTTTTAATCTGTCCCCTCCTTAGACATGCTCAGTACTTACTATTATCTCCTGTCTCTCTTTTCTGTCATAGGGACAGTATACTTCCTGAAACATCCCCAGAAGCTCAACTTCACCGAAGCGGTGACGGCCTGCACCACAGACGGCGGTCTCATCGCAAAGGTGGGCCAGCTCTATGCCGCCTGGCGGTTCATGGGATTGGACCGCTGCGACGCAGGCTGGTTGGCTGACGGGAGCATCCGTTACCCCATCGCAAAGGCTCGCCCTAACTGCGGCACCTCAGAACCGGGGGTGCGGAATTTGGGCTTCCCCCCTCTGCATCGGAAATACAGTGTCTACTGCAATCGGTAAACCTATCCTCAACTTCCATTCTACGAAAACCAGAGGACAATAATAGTAAAGAGCACAACTACAGTACAACAGATAGCCCATACTAGTCAACTTCTCCATTCAACACAAACGGTGCACTGTTAAACGACCCTAGCCTGGATGCTAGTTAGCATTAGCCAGTTCTGCTCTCATAGTGTCCACTGTATAGTTCTAGTGAACTGTCGACTACTGCACTGTCTTCATCTCCTCATACTGTACATAATACCAGTCCCCACTGAGACTCCAACCAGCACTGATACACAAACGGACTATTTAGTCTTGTATTGCCAGGTTTGACTCACAGTAAAGGGTCGTTACAGTTCAAACTCAGGGAAGGTGTTCAACCACTGCAAGGCCCGCCGCCCTCATAATGCTTTGCCAGTGATTTTGTTGTCCAACCAAGCTCTTTTCCTTGGTGTTTTGTTGAACTGTAGGTAGCTATCTCATTGTTCCTACTGCACTTTCAGTTCAATGTTTGTAATTCATAGTTTTAGGCACATTTCTGGATTTCTGGATTATCCTTATATGTTATAATGTTTTTCCATGTCTTGTTTTGTATAAGAATTGAAATGGAATGATGAATTTGATGACGATGGGTGATGGTATATAGACTATGTCATGATGGAAGGTTGTTTTGACAGTATTTTATGACTACCCCTTGTAGAGAGCACAGTGTTAAAGTATTCCATCTATATTATGCCTCTTTAATGAAGTTGTATGACATTAATAACATTTTCTAACAAATTAATGATATCCTCCCTTCCTTGACGTTATCACTTGCAACGCCAGGATTGTGGGATCAATACCCTGGGCCACCCATACGTAAAATGTATGCATGCATGACTGTAAGTCACTTTGGTTAAAAGCGTCTGCTAAATGGCATTTATTAAATTGAATAAAATCATGTTTGAGTCTGCATCCCAATTTGCACTGAAATATAACTAACAAACCGTTTTACATAGAAACACCGGATTTTCAGCAGTTTTTTTTAAAATAATGTTAATTCATTATGAAATTATGAAAGATATTAATAACATTTCACCCATGAGGCCACTAGAGGGCGATTTGGTCATTTGACTGCAGGAATCTACGTAGAAAAATAGAAAACACAATGCTCAGGACATGAAGCTGGAGAAATAAATGTTTATTGTTCACTGTAGGCTAAATGCATGTTGCAAAACAAAACAAAACTGTGCATTTAGCACTTGTACAAAAAGACAAAACAGAAATCTTGTGCATTTACATGTAGCACTTGTAAAAACAAACAGAAATCTTATGTGTTTGCCACTTGTGTACAGTAAGCCCATGTAAAAATAAAGTACAAGAATATTCAAATAAGTGCATTACTCAGCCACAGCATCATGTCTCCGTACTGGGTCAGGCCACAGGACTTCATCCACATCACAGGCCACATTTTGTCTGGCCAGGCAACGGGGGAAAAAACCCCTGGCATGCCGTATCCAGGCTTGGCATGCCTCCACACCTATGTCACCACAGGCAAGTCCCATGGCTTGTAGGAGATTTACCCTGGTGTAAGGTTGGCGTTCATATACCTTCCACCGCCATGAGGAGAAGAATTCCTCAATGGGGTTTAGGAAAGGGGAGTACGGTGGAAGGCAAAGATTGATAAAACCTTGGTTCATATTGTACCACTCTCTAACCTGGAGGGCTCTGTGAAAACTCACATTGTCCCAAACAACAACATAGATGGGATGCTCATCCTGCTGCCCTAACAAAGCATCTCGCATGTGATTGAGGAAAATGAGGAGCTGGTGAGTGTTGTAGGGCCCCAGGTTGGCATGATGGTGGACAACCCCATGATTGCTGATGGCAGCACATAATGTGACATTGCCACCACGCTGCCCAGGAACACCAACAATGGCCCGATGGCCAATCACATTACGGCCTCTCCTTCTCCTTTTGGTGAGATTAAACCCAGCTTCATCCATGTAGATGTATTGATGGGGTCTTTCCATTGCATCCAGTTAAAAAAAACCTCTGTAGAAATAGATATAGTTTTGTAAGTGATACGGAAAAAGTGATTTAGGCCACTACAGTAAATCACTACTTAGAGTAATCAACATTGAATGTGTCTGGATATATGCCAACCTGTACATACTGGAATCTTTGCTCTTTGACTCTGTCTGAGTTGCGATCAAAGGGCACTCTGTATAGCTGTTTCATGCGCAGTCTGTTGCGCTTGAGGACACGATCAACAGTAGAGAGGCTGACACTGTTGATACCCTCAAAATTTAAATGGTCCTCAATGATCTTCTTCTGAATTTCGCTCAGTTTAATGGCATTGTTCTCACGGACCATATCAACAATTAGGGTCTCTTGGTGTGGGGAGAACATACCTGTCCTCCCACCCCCATGTGGCAGTCTTTCAATTCTACAAAAAGAGAACATGGAGTTACAAAAAACCATTGCTATCCATTGTAGGGCCTCACAAACCATTGCTCTCTGAACTGGCTTACTGTATATGTTCCCTCACATCATTAGCCACAAGTGTGATCAATTTTGAGTTGTTGTGTTCAAGTGGTGACACCTGTGCTCTAATTGTGTTTGACTTTTGTCACCTGTGCTCACCATTAAATATAATAGCACTTCTATCCTGTGTGCCTGCCAATGGTGCCTGGGTCCTGTTCAATGGAAAATAAAAATTAGTGTTTATCATAAGTCTAGGTAGTCTTTCCCTGTTTCAGTTGGTTTTCTTTCGTTTTGTGCCTAATGAACATGACCTTGCTGATTGCAAAAGAGATCCTCCTGCTGTGTGATTCATATAATCACCACTAGGGAGCGCTGCTGTCACAGGTGCATTGTTGGGCGCACAGTAGGGTACTACAACCTAATGGGGCAAAGAGGTGAAAGGGGCCACGCTGACCCATACAAACGGGGCACTGTGTGTGGGTGTGGGTGTGTTTGCATGCGTGTGCTTGTATGTGTGTGTGTGTGTACTTGCGTTCCACACTCTACAGAACCTCCTCAGCACGCGACACTCAGTCTGGGCATAGCACTTTAGATGGAGGGGGCCAGAGTTGGAGAGGGAGTCAAAGGCAGTAGGTAGTACTACACCAGCACACTCCCTCCCTCTCTTGAGGAGCAAACAGAGGTCCCTGTAATTTTATGCCTCCAAAAAGGCATTTTTACACATTTACATTTACGTAATTTATACACATTTATTTATTTTCGTAATTTAGCAGACGCTCTTACACCTGCTGCCTAAACACGGGTGGAGGGCGAACACACACCCAGACCTCCCCCCTCCCCCCACACACACACCCAGACCTCCCCCCTCCCCCCTCACCCTACACACACACACAGGCCTCCGCCTTCCCCCACACACACACCCAGACCTCCCCCCTCCCCACACACACGAATGCAAACAGATACTCATGCATGCACTCATGTATAACACAATAGGGCATGGCTGTTTACGGGTCAGCCCTGCAGGCGATGAATGTATGCACTGTAGAGACTAATAAGAGAGAGATTCAATTATCCATGCTTTTTGTGTATACACACATTGGCATGTTGTTTGGGGTCAGCCTGCAGGCGATGAAGGCATGCACTGTGGAGACCTAAGAGAGATAATTACTTGCTTCTTTTTTCACTTTGAGATTCCAGGAGGGGTAAAAATATACTAAATAGTGAGTCTGTTTACACAGCTACGGTAAGTGAGGTGCCACTGGTTTATAAATGGGTGTGGATTGATTTGAATGGCACTCTTATTCGTAATCAGAGAATATCTTGATGGTTACAATACTTGGCAAGACTAGCTTGATAGGCTTTTTGATATTTTTGATATAGGTTTACTTGCTTAATGCTCTAGTACGGGGTTCTCAAAGTGGGGTCCGAGGTACTGCAGGGGGTCCGTGACCAGACATATAAACAAAAAAGTATATATACACTACCAGTCAAACGTTTTAGAACACCTACTCATTACAGGGTTTTCTTTATTTGTACTATTTTCTACACTATAGAATAATAGGGAAGACATCAAAGCTATGAAATAACACATATGGAATCGTGTAGTAACCCATTTTTATTTTTACAAATCTAAATATATTTTATATTTTAGATTCTTCAAATAGCCACCATTTGCCTTGATGACAGCTTTGCACACTCTTGGCATTCTCTCAACCAGCTTCACCTGGAATGCTTTTCCAACAGTCTTGAAGGAGTTCCCACATATGCTGAGCACTTGCTGGCTGCTTTTCCTTCACTCTGCAGTCACTCCGACTCATCCCAAACCATCTCAATTTGGTTGAGGTCGGGGGATTGTGGAGGCCAGGTCATCTGATGCAGCACTCCATCACTCTCCTTCTTGGTGAAATAGCCCTTGCACATTCTCCTCTGAACAGATGATGTTGAGATGTGTCTGTAACTTGAACTCTGTGAAGCATTTATCTGGGCTGCAATTTCTCAGGCTGGTAACTCTAATGAACTTATCCTCTGCAGCAGAGGTAACTCTGGGTCTTCCATTCCTGTGGTGGTCCTCATGAGAGCCAGTTTCATCATAGAGTTTGATGGTTTTTGCGACTGCACTTGAAGAAATGTTCAAAGTTCTTGAAATTATCCGTATTGACTGACCTTCATGACTTAGAGTAATGATGAACTGTCGTTTCTCTTTGCTTATTTGCTGTTCTTGCCATAATATGGAATTGGTCTTCTACTAAATAGGGCTATCTTCTGTATACCCCCCCTACCTTGTCACAACACAAATGATTGGCTCAAACACATTAAAAAGGATTAACTTTTAAGAAGGCACACCTGTTAATTGAAATGCATTCCAGGTGACTACCTCATGAAGCTGGTTGAAAGAATGTCAAGAGTGTGCAAAGCTGTCATCAAGGCAAAGGGTGGCTATTTGAAGAATCTCAAATATAAAATATATTTTGATTTGTTTAACACTTTTTTGGTTATTACATGATTCCACATTTGTTATTTCATAGTTTTGATGTCTTCACTATTATTCTACAATGTAGAAAATAGTAAAAATAAAGAAAAACCCTGGAATGAATAGGTGTTCTAAAACTTTGGACCGGTAGTTTATATATGTACATATAGTGTCTTCGGGAGGTATTCAGACCCCTTGACTTTTTCCACATTTTGTTACGTTACAGCCTTTTTTCTAAAATGGATTAAGTTGTTTTTTCCCCCTCATCAATCTACACACATTACCCCATAATGACAAATTCAAAACAGGTTTTTATAAATGTTTGCTAATTTATTATAAATAAAAAACGGAAATATCAAATTTACATAAGTATTCAGACATTTTACTCAGTACTTTGTTGAAGCTACTTTGGCAGCGATTACAGCATTGAGTATTCTTGGATATGACGCTACAAGCTTGGCACACCCATTCTTCTCTGCAGATCCTCTCAAGCTCTGTCAGGTTAGATGGTGAGCAGTACTGCACAGCTATTTTCAGGTCTCTCCAGAGATGTTCGATTGGGTTCAAGTCCGGGCTCTGGCTGGGCCACTCAAGGACATTCAGAGACTTGACCCGAAGCCACTCCTGCGTTGTCTTGGCTGTGTGCTTAGGGTCGTTGTCCTGTTGGAAGGTGAACCTTCGCCCCAGTCTGATCTCTCTGTACTTTGCTCTGTTCATCTTTGCCTCGATCCAACTAGTCTCCCAGTCCCTGCCGCTAAAAAACATCCCCACAGCATGATGCTGCCACCACCATGCTTCACTGTAGATATGGTGCCAGGTTTCCTCCAGACGTGACGCTTGGCATTCAGGCCAAAGAGTTCAATCTTGTTTTCATCAGACCAGAGAATCTTGTTTCTCGTGGTCTGAGAGTCTTTAGGTGCCTTTTGGCAAACTCCAAGCGGGCTGTCATGTGCCTTTTACTGAGGAGTGGCTTCCGTCTGGCCACTCTACCATAAAGGCCTGATTGGTGGAGTGCTGCATAGATGGTTGTCCTTCTGGAAGGTTCTCCCATCTCCACAGAATAACTCTGGAGTTCTGTCAGAGTGACCATCGGGTTCTTGGTCACCTCCCTGACCAAGGCCCTTCTCCCCCGATTGCTCAATTTTGCCGGGGGGCCAGCTCTAGGAAGAGTCTTGGTGGCTCCAAACTTCTTCCGTTTAAGAATGATGGAGGCCACTGTGTTCTTGGGGATCTTCAATGCTGCAGAAATGTTTTGGTAACCCTTCCCCAGATCTGTGCCTCGACACAATTCTGTCTCAGAGCTCTACAGACAATTCCTTCAACCTCATGGCTTGGTTTTTTGCTCTGACATGCACTGTCAACTGTGGGACCTTATATAGACATGTGTGCCTTTCCAAATCATGTCCAATCAATTGAATTTACCACAGGTGGACTCCAATCAAGTTGAAGAAACATCTCAAGGTTGATCTGTGGAAACAGGATGCACCTGAGCTCAATTTCTAGTCTCATAGCAAAGGGTCTGAATACTCATATAAATAAGATATTTCTGTTAATTTTTTTTTAATAAATTTGCAAAAACTTTCTAAAAACCTGTTTTCACTTTGTCATTATGGGGTATTGTGTGTAGATTGATGAGGGAAAAAATATTTATCAATTTTAGAATAAGTTTGTAACATAACAAAATGTGGAAAAGGTTAAGGGGTCTGAATACTTTCCCGAATGCACTGTATATACAAAAGTATGTGGACACTCCTTCAAATTAGTGGAGTCGGCTATTTCAGCCACACCCGTTGCTGACAGGTGTATAAAATCGAGCACACAGCCATGCAATCTCCATAGACAAACATTGACAATAGAATGGCCTTACTGAAGAGCTCAGTGACTTTCAACTTGGCACCGTCATAGGATGCCATCTTTCCAACAAGTCAGTTTGTCAAATTTCTGCCCTGCTAGAGCTGCCCCGGTCAACTGTAAGTGCTGTTATTGTGAAGTGGAAACGTCTAGGAGCAACAACGGCTCAGCCGTGAAGTGGTAGGCCACACAAGCTCACAGAACGGGACTACCAAGTGCTGTAGTGCGTAGTGCGTAAAAATCATCTGTCCTCAGTTGCAACACTCACTACCGAGATCCAAACTGCCTCTGGAAGCAACGTCAGCACAATAACTGTTCGTCGGGAGCTTTGTGAAGTGGGTTTCCATGGCTGAGCATCCGCACACAAGCCTAAGATCCCCATGCGCAATGGTGTAAACCTCGACGCCATTGGACTCTGGAGCAGTGGAATCACATTCTCTGGAGTGATGAATCACGCTTCACCATCTGGCAGTCCAACGGACGAATCTGGGTTTGGCGGATGCCAGGAGAACGCTACCTGCCCTAATACATAGTGCCAACTGTAAAGTTTGGTGGAGGAGGAATAATGGTCGGGGCTGTTTTTCATGGTTCGGACTAGGACCCTTAGTTCCAGTGAAGGGAAATCTTAACGCTAAAGCATACAATGACATTCTAGACGATTCTGCGCTTCCAACTTTGTGGCAACAGTTTGGGGAAGGCCCTTTCCTGTTTCAATATGACAACGCCCCTATGCACAAATCTAGGTATCACGTTTCAGGAGAAGACCCAGATGCAGACACTATCGAAGTAAAAAGTTTATTACAAAAACGGGGAAGGCAAACGACAGGTCAAGGGCAGGCAGAGGTCAGTAATCCAGATCAGAGTCCAAAAGGTACAGAACGCCAGGCATGCTCAGGGTCAGGGCAGGTAGAGGTCAATAATCCAGGGTGGTGTGACAAGGTACAGAACGGCAGGCAGGCTCAAGGTAAGGGCAGGCAGAATGGTCAAAACCTGGAAAACTGGAAAACAGGAACTTGAGAAAGACAGAAGCAAGGGGAAAAACGTTGGTAGACTTGACAAAACAAAACGAACTGGCAAATAGAGAACACAGGTATAAATACACTGGGGATAATGGGGAAGATGGGTGACACCTGGAGGGGGGTGGAGACAATCACAAAGACAGGTGAAACAGATCAGGGTGTGACACTAGGTCCATACAGAAATGGTTTGTCGAGATCGGTGTGGAAGAACTTGAGTGGCCTGCACAGAGCCCTGACCTCAAACCCATCGAACACCTTTGGGATCAATTGGAAAGCCGACTGCGAGCCAGGCCTAATCGCCCAACATCAGTACCCGACCTCACTAATGCTCTTGTGGCTGAATGGAAGCAATTCCCCGCAGCAATGTTCCAACATCTAGTGGAAAGCCTTCCCAGAAAAGTGGAGGCTGTTATAGCAGCAAAGGAGGGACCAACTCCATATTAATGCCCATGATTTTGGAATGAGATGTTTGACGAGCAGGTGTCCGCATACTTTTGGTAATGTAGTGTATATAGATGTTTTATTTTTTATTTTTTTATGAATATTACTAACAACAACAGGTTAAACTAATTTTTGCCAAGGGATCCGTGGAATAAGTTTAGAGTGTGTAATACAATAACATGTAATATTGTTAATCTACAATTTATGTTCTTAACCCTGGGCAACATGGGCCTGGGAGTCTCTCAGGGAGATTGCCATCCACAGTACTCCACCAATTCTACATTTTTCAACTCAAAACGTATTGTATTCTCCCAAAAATTATTTGACATAAATGCACTGCAGAGTTTTCTCTCTACCCCATGACAAAATCTGTAGAATTACAGGAAATTAGCTTGAAAACTGCACAATTTTCTCTCTGATGCCAAGACGGGGGCCTTTGAAATGTTCCTTCCCAGGGCCTGAGACTTGGTTCGTCCGGCCATGCACTATGCAATTTTTTTTTAATCTCACTCGAGTTGTGTTCTGATTATGAATGATGAATTTGCTGTCACAAAAGGGGTACTGGCCCCCAAAAGTTTGAGAACCCCTGCTCTAGTATACTGCATGCACAGACCCTCACAGTACTTCACCTTTTATAATTTCTTAATACTGTAGCTACATATTGCAGTGAATTTGGGAGGATAGCCCCAACCTGGACTGGAAGCTGGGTCCAGTGACTGGGTCCACCAACTCAATACCTTACCTGTTATGCCAAAAGATCAGAACCCCTTGTCAAGGTTACTAGGTGTTGGATTAAGGTTTTTACAATATTGCCATATGATATTCACAGTATACAATGTATAATACGATAAACATATATACAATACCTAAATCAAAGATAACTTGGATACATTCAATCATAATTGCAGCACACTACCTTTTTAATGTCTTATATACTGTAGTTACTGAACAGAAACAGACGATTTCAGATTTTATTTGATACTTGTTTACATCCAAATCAATTATTAGAATGTCACACACTGTATAAACATTATCACATGTATCTATGTTCTTTGTGCTCAAACACTCATTCAACACACACGCACACACACACACACACACACACACACACACACACACACACACACACTTTATACTCACGTGCATGGACACACCCATACTTTCTCTCTCATACACACATAGACACTATACAGTTCTCACACAATTATCTGTGATATGTGTGTCAGTCTTGTTTATTTTTTAAGGCCTGATGGTGGTGGTGCTGTGTGTGTGTGTGTGTGTGTGTGTGTGTGTCTGTGTGTGTGTGTGTGTGTGTGTGTGTGTGTGTGTGTGTGTGTCTGTGTGTGTGTGTGTCTGTGTGTGTGTGTGTCTGTTGTGTGTGTGTGTCTGGTGTGTGTGTGTGTGTGTCTGGTGTGTGTGTGGTGTGTCTGTGTGTGTCTGTGTGTGTGTGTCTGTGTGTGGGTTGTGTCTGTGTGTGTGTGTGTCTGTGTGTGTGTGTGTCTGTGTGTGTGTGTGTCTGTGTGTGTGTGTGATCTGTGTGTGGTGTGTGTCTGTGTGTGTGTGTCTGTGTGTGTGTGTCTGTGTGTGTGTGTCTGTGTGTGTGTGTGTGTCTGTGTGTGTGTGTGTTGTGTGTTGTGTGTGTCGGTGTGTGTGGTGTGTGTGTGTGTGTGTTGTGTGTGTGTGTGTGTGTGTGGTCTGTGTGTGGTGTGTGTGTCTGGTGTTGTGTTGTGTGTCTGTGTGTGTGTGTGTCTGTGTGTGTGTGTGTGTCTGTGTGTGTGTGTGTGTGTGTCTGTGTGTGTGTGTCTGTGTGTGTGTGTCATGTGTGTGTGTGTGTGTGTCTGTTGTGTGTGTGTGTGTCTGTGTGTGTGTGTGTGTGGGTGTGTGTGTCTGTGTGTGTGTGTGTTGTGGTGTTGTGTGTGTGTGTGTCGTGTCTGTGTGTGTCTGTGTGTGTGCTGTGTGTGTGTGTGTGTGTCTGTGTGTGTGTGTGTTGTCTGTGTGTGTGTGTGTGTCTGTGTGTGTGTGTGTGTGTTGTGTGTTGTGTGTGTGTGTTCTGTGTGTGGTGGTGTGTCTGTGTGTGTTTGTGTGGGTCTGTGTGTGTGTGTGTGTCTGTGTGTGTGTGTGTGTGTGGTGTGTGTGTTGTGTGTCTGTGTGTGTGTGTGTGTCTGTGTTGTGTGTGTGTGTGTGTGTCTTGTGTTGTGTGTGTGTTGTGTGTGTGTGTGTGTGTGGTCTGTGTGTGTGTGTGTGTCTGTGTGTGTGTGTGTGTCTGTGTGTGTGACATCCCTCTACACTGAGACACCCAGAAACCATTCAACCATTCATCAAACGTTGAAATCACTTCCGATGTGTGAGAGTATTGTGTTGTGTTGAGTGTGTTTGTTGAATGTGCATGAGTCGGGTGGGAGGGGAGCTTGAGTATGGACACTGCTCCCCAAACGTTAAACATGATTCGACCCAAAAGGATCCTCGTCAACTTAACATATCCTCTAACTCCTCCTTCTCTAACCTTGTGCCTTCACAGCTTGTTATGCTACTGGTGTCAATTCATTTTTATGTGCTTCAGTACCAATTCAACCCCTCATAATTCCCTTCCTGCACACAAGGGGACTTGGGGTTGTGAATAAGATAAATGGAAAACAAAGGCCCTGTTTATTCATCAATCAAAATGCTTGATGTCTGATATCAAAAGCGTAGTTTGAGAGAATTCACAGTGAGAAATAAACAGACAAACACAAACTCATCTGTTTATGAGCACATGGATTGTAAGGTCACATAGATTGTCGGACGCCAGCATGTTCCCATAGTGTATGTGCTGTAGCCAACTCTTCTACAGTTGTATCGATCGTATTTTCACCAGATGGTTCTGAAGCATGGAGATGAAAAGAGAGCCTATCTTTGCCATTGATCGCTTCTGTGACAGCATGGGCATCGCGATTGAGGACTATCCCCATTTCTGAAGTAGTCATTTTTCTCTTCTTAATGCTAAAACAGGCTTTGTGGCAAGTGTGCCCTCTTTCCATCTCTGTGTTCTGAATTTTTTGGTGCCGAAAATAGCCCAAAGATCCAGGATGAGAGCACAATACTGTATCATTATCATACAGAGTTGGAGGTACTCTGTTCGACATTCCGAAACAGACAAACATTGCTCTTTCTGTCTCTTTTCTTCACATATAGGAGTTGTTCCCTATTTGGTCCTAAGGTCCAACACTATATAAAAAAAGCTAATTATCAAACATAAACTAAGAAAAAATAATAATGTGCTTGACTTCAGAGTATCTAGCTGCAATCCTAAACACTTTTTTTACTCTGTTCTTGACTTTCAGTGTCACTCTAGTGCCTTGGGGGAGGGATGTTTCTTTCCCACTCCATTCAGATGGGACTCCCCAAATAAATAATACTATCCATTCATTTTTATTGACCCCTCCAGCATCTCTTTGAGTCACACCTTCCACCCTGGTCAGAGTATAATAGAGGAGGGACCAAAACTATCTACCACCCAATCAAAAGACTCCAATGGCTGAACACAGCCATAAACCAATGAACCTCCCAAATGATTCTGACAGAAGATGAACCTACCCATATTCCCCTGTATCAGTGGTTCTCAACCTTTTTTGGTAACTGTACCCCGATTCACTTAGGCCCTGATTCCGACCTGAGTTAAGCGCGTGTAAATGAAACGTAATTCCCTTTTCATGCACTGTTCTCTCTATGCGTATTCTGACCTTGAATTTAAGAATGAGGATAGCATGCTATTCACCCGCTATTCGTTCTGGCTAGAGATCTACAGATAAACCGTATTCTGACCTTGACTTAATTCCCTTACCTTTACGCGCTAGGAAACCATGAATAAATTCGAGCGAACCTGTTGGTTCCAAGTGGGAAAAGCATCTACTTTTTTCCGATAGAAATAACACCATTCTCCATGCACTGTAATTTATAAATGTATAAGAGCTATTGATAAGAGCTAGGTAAATGAGTAATCCATTTGGAGAAGGGGGTTGTAGATGCACATAGCAATTGTTTTAGATGTTTTTTCCTTATGATCCCTGAAAATCATATCAACATGAAATGTATTGCGGCCGTTTTCCACAGTGAAATAGGCTACACTCTTAGAAAAAAGGTGCTATCTAGAACCTAAAAGGGTTCTTCGGCTGTCCCCATACGAGTACCCTTTGAAAAAATGTGGGGTTCCAGGGTTCTACCTGGAACCAAAAAGGGTTCTAACTGGAACCAAAAAGGGTTATCCTATGGGGACAGCCGAAGAACCCTTTTAGGACCCTTTTTTTCTAAGAGTGTATAAATAGCTATGCCGTTATTCAGATTTGTTTTTATTGTGTACCCTCATAATTTGCGTGGATGAAATTTGGACACCCAAGCTATAGGCTTCTGTGGGGCTGAACCTACCGAGTTGATGTATGCCCTTTAGAATGTTTTAATTATAGCCTATGCCCGGGCTTTTCTCCGTTTTATAAAAAAAATGTGTAATGTTAAATATTCGCCACTATAGGGGGCCACCGTCAGTAATACCCACATACATTTATAACTGTCACTTTAGTGTTAGTTTTCTTCAATTTGTAGCTTACATTTTGCATCATTCCATTCCATTCTGTTAAACTGTATTTCCTCCGTCACGTCCGTGTAAGCTGTTCCTGAGGGTCGCTAGCATTAGTGGATCATATAACGTTGTGCAATAATTTGGGACAAATTGAATCATTATGGAACTCAGACCACACTTAGCAGGTTAAACCTGGAGCTTGGCGAACGGTTCATAACGACTGGACCGTTGTCATACAGTTCCATGATTAGTAAGGATTAGGGTAGATTTACAGTACTATTGTTCAACCCTTATTGTACACTTTTTTCCACCTTCCAATATTTCATGGATTGAACTTGAATATGACAACTTTCAGGATGAATCAAACCACTGTATTTTTTATTCATCAATATATTTTTTGCGCGCAAGGGAACCACGCCTGCAAACTCCATTACGCACCTTTATAAGGTAAGTCTGAACACCAACTACTGAGAAGTGCATGGGATAGGCGTGCATAAGAAAAGCATAATTTCTTAAGTCGGAATCAAATCCATAATGCTCTGCACAAAGTATCCCCTCAATTATACCTATTTGAGTCTTCCCAAGTACCCCCTGTGGATAGGCCCGGTACCCCCAGGGTTACTAGTACCCCAGGTTGAGAACCACTGCCCAAATACCCCCCACAAAGGCACAGAGTGACACTCAGAGATCAACATTGTCAGTCGGACTATAAAATCCTGTCTAATGTGCTTTGGTGTTTATCTATATACATGGTGGGAATCCGGGGTGGAAATGGGGGAATTCAATCATTTTGACATGTAAAAATGAGCTATAGGTGAATTCAAGGATTTTACATTGGTGGGTTCTCAAAGTAACTTTTCCCCATTTCCACCCCTGGTGGGAACGTTATCTTTTTTTGGTCAGGCAAAATGGCATTTAGTATCAATGTTTCTTTACAAGAGCGGTCAATTTGGTTCTCTTTTAGTGTGTCCCTTCAGTCCTGCTTAGAGAAGCTTCCGCCAAGACCAACTGTTGGGTGCTTTCAACCGTCTCCTGATGGACCTCTTGTGTAGTCTGTTGCTGGGGGTGGCACCAGCTGAGGGAGAGAGAGGCACATGTTGATGACATCATTAAAACATTGCTGAATAACCATCAAAGATAAAGAATAAGGAAATTCCAAAGTGCAGGGGTATTCAAAACTGAGCCTGGATGTCCGGAGTACTGCTGGTTTTCTCTTCTACCTGATAATTAATTGCACCCACCTGGTGTCCCAACTCTAAATCAGTCCTTGATTTAGAGTTGGGACACCAGGTGGGTGTCAGAAGTGGAACTTGCTTCGAGGTCCAGATAAAAATGTGCCTGCCATAGTGTCTCATATCTCACCTACTTTACTATACTTTAATGTTATTGCCTTGTTTCCCTAGAGATGTCTATATTTCTCAAGCTTGTGAATGTTGTATCTCTTTTTGTGTTGTTACTCTGTAAGTATGTATGATGTCATCTGCAAGGTTAGTAGACGCTAATCTCGGAACCCAGAAACTATCTTGTGTGTGCTATCTAGCTACTCGATTGACTCTGGGGGCTGAGGTTTTAAATCAGAGTTGACAGACGTGGACGAGACACGATAGATTAAACAAGAAAGGTTAGACTCACATCCTATACACTCCACTTGTGGCTCCTTCCACCGCCCGTCGGGAAGGCAGCGTACAACAGGTGGGTGGCGCTGTGTGAAGCCTGCGTCACACTGGTAGCGGACTATAGAGTTGACGGGGTAGCGGTCTCTTCTGCTGCCCATTGGCCTGGCGTTGTCCACCTCAGGGGGTGAATGGCACATGACTGGGAAGAAAGGGAAAACCAGAGGAATTAGCTAAGGAAATTATCTCAAAAGATCTGTCTATCTGTTTCCAATGATGTTGATAAAATCTGGATTTTATTAACTTTTTCAACTAGGCAAGTCAGTTAAGAACCAATTCTTATTTACAATGATGGCCTACCTCGGCCAAACCCGGACGACGCTGGGCCAATTGTGCGCCGCCCTATGGGACTCCCAACCACAGCCGGATTGTGATACAGCCTGGAATCAAACCAGGGTCTGTAGTGACACCTCTAGCACTGAAATGCAGTGCCTTAGACCGCTGCGCCACTCGGGAACCCAATGATACATTGACTCTTTGTTGTGCCCTACAAATAGTGAGCTGGACCAACAATAGTGTTTTTAGGGGTACCAATTCATTTTAAGACTCACAGTTTGAACACGTTTAACACTTAATTTAACACCTGATGAACCCTTATTTGTGCATAGTCCCCCCCGGACATCCCTATTTTCCAAAAAGCAAGCCTAGTGCTATTTCTCTGTCCTGTTGGCTCAGTCACAGACAGCTGACCCAATTCATGTTCTGTGCCCTCTGACCCTCAACCCCTGCTCCCTACCAGGTTCACTCTTGCAGGTGAAGGGCAGGTGGTAGTTGCAGGGAACATCGTTCCACTGGCCGTTCTCATGCCAGATCATCACTACACAGTCCTCTCCAGAGTTAAAGTAGTTATCTGGCTGGTTGGGCCTCCAGTTCTCAAATTCCTGCATGCGAAGACATCAACACAGGACCATTTGATTAGAAAGTAGGATCAAATAGAATTAACAAGTCAAATGGTAATTTAATATTAATATAAATAATAATAATGTAAAATATAATTTACAAAAAAAGTAAAGTACAGTAAAGTAAAGTAGGGGACCAGAGTAGGGGATACCTGAACTGGTATAAAACAAAAAACTCACCAATGGACTCCCATCTGTCCAGCGGAACTTATTCTGCACGTCCTTGTCATTGAGTCCAATCCACTGATAGTCCTGAGCGTTAGCTATATGGAAAAATGAAAAGAGAACATTGAGCTGTCATGTACAGTACGTATCAAATATGTTCTATGTTTGTGCGAAAAATAAATGACACACGCGCGTGCATGCACACACACACAAACTTCACAACTAAGACAATAAAGAATACGTACACACACACGCTTGCACACACATACACACACACATTTGCACACATCCTATATCTATACTCACAGTTGACAAACTCCTGCTCCTGTTGGGAGGTGATGCTGACCAGGTGGGAGTTGAGCTCTTGGCAGCGCTGCTCAGCATCGGGCCAGGTGTCTCTCTCAAGAAAGTGCAGGTAGCAGCTCCCCATGAACTCCGCCCAGCCCTCGGCACAGCCCTGCGCTGCTGCACACAAACAGATAGACACATTCACAAATTTACTGTAGAATGTTGGCTTTTTATTTAATTCATACAACCCTCCCCCTCCCCTTTAACCATAGGCGGCGCTACCATAAGGCTAGCTGTAACCATAGGCGGCGCTACCATAAGGCTAGCTGTAACCATAGGCGGCGCTACCATAAGGCTAGGCTGTAACCATAGGCGGCGCTACCATAAGGCTAGCTGTAACCATAGGCGGCGCTACCATAAGGCTAGCTGTAACCATAGGCGGCGCTACCATAAGGCTAGCTGTAACCATAGCGGCGCTACCATAAGGCTAGCTGTAACCATAGGCGGCGCTACCATAAGGCTAGCTGTAACCATAGGCGGCGCTACCATAAGGCTAGCTGTAACCATAGGCGGCGCTACCATAAGGCTAGCTGTAACCATAGGCGGCGCTACCATAAGGCTAGCTGTAACCATAGGCGCGCTACCATAAGGCTAGATGTAACCATAGGCGGCGCTACCATAAGGCTAGGTGTAACCATAGGCGGCGCTACCATAAGGCTAGCTGTAACCATAGGCGGCGCTACCATAAGGCTAGCTGTAACCATAGGCAGCGCTACCATAAGGCTAGCTGTAACCATAGGCGGCGCTACCATAAGGCTAGCTGTAACCATAGGCGGCGCTACCATAAGGCTAGCTATAACCATAGGCGGCGCTACCATAAGGCTAGCTAAGCTTCCCCTAAAGTAAATTGAATTAAATTGACAAATCAAATCAAATCAAATCAAATCAAATTGTATTGGTCACATGCGCCGAATACAACAGGTGCAGACATTACAGTGAAATGCTTACTTACAGCCCTTAACCAACAGTGCATTTATTTTAAACAAAAAAGTAAGAATAAAACAACAACAAAAAAAGTGTTGAGAAAAAAAGAGCAGAAGTAAAATAAAGTGACAGTAGGGAGGCTATATATACAGTAAAATAAAGTGACAGTAGGGAGGCTATATATACAGGGGGGTACCGTTGCAGAGTCAATGTGCGGGGCCACCGGCTAGTTGAGGTAGTTGAGGTAATATGTACATGTGGGTAGAGTTAAAGTGACTATGCATAAATACTTACTTAACAGAGTAGCAGCAGCGTAAAAAGGATGGGGTGGGGGGGCAGTGCAAATAGTCCGGGTAGCCATGATTAGCTGTTCAGGAGTCTTATGGCTTGGGGGTAGAAGCTGTTGAGAAGTCTTTTGGACCTAGACTTGGCACTCCGGTACCGCTTGCCGTGCGGTAGCAGAGAGAACAGTCTATGACTAGGGTGGCTGGAGTCTTTGACAATTTTGCGGGCCTTCCTCTGACACCGCCTGGTATAGAGGTCCTGGATGGCAGGGAGCTTTGCCCCAGTGATGTACTGGGCCGTACGCACTACCCTCTGTAGTGCCTTGCGGTCAGAGGCCAAGCAGTTGCCATACCAGGCGGTGATGCAACCAGTCAGGATGCTCTCGATGGTGCAGCTGTAGAATTTTTTGAGGATCTGAGGACCCATGCCAAATCTTTTTAGTCTCCTGAGGGGGAATAGGCTTTGTCGTGCCCTCTTCACGACTGTCTTGGTGTGTTTGGACCATGATAGTTCGTTGGTGATGTGGACACCAAGGAACTTGAAGCTCTCAACCTGTTCCACTACAGCCCCGTCGATGAGAATGGGGGCGTGCTCAGTCCTCTTTTTTTTCCTGTAGTCCACAATCATCTCCTTTGTCTTGGTCACGTTGAGGGAGAGGTTGTTGTCCTGGCACCACACGGCCAGATCTCTGACCTCCTCCCTATAGGCTGTCTCATCGTTGTCGGTGATCAGGCCTACCACTGTTGTGTCGTCGGCAAACTTAATGATGGTGTTGGAGTCGTGCCTGGCCATGCAGTCATGGGTGAACAGAGAGTACAGGAGGGGACTGAGCACGCACCCCTGAGGGGCCCCCGTGTTGAGGATCAGTGTGGCAGATGTGTTGTTACCTACCCTTACCACCTGGGGGCGGCCCGTCAGGAAGTCCAGGATCCAGTTGCAGAGGGAGGTGTTTAGTCCCAGGATCCTTAGCTTAGTGATGAGCTTAGAGGGCACTATGGTGTTGAATGCTGAGCTGTAGTCAATGAATAGCATTCTCACGTAGGTGTTCCTCTTGTCCAGGTGGGAAAGGGCAGTGTGGAGTGCGATAGAGATTGCATCATCTGTGGATCTGTTGGGGCGGTATGCAAATTGGAGTGGGTCTAGGGTTTCTGGGATTATGCTGTTGATGTGAGCCATGACCAGTCTTTCAAAGCACTTCATGGCTACAGACGTCAGTGCTACAGGTCGGTAGTCATTTAGGCAGGTTATCTTAGAGTTCTTGGGCACGGGGACTATGGTGGTCTGCTTGAAACATGTTGGTATTACAGACTCAGTCAGGGACATGTTGAAAATGTCAGTGAAGACACTTGCCAGTTGGTCAGCACATGCTCGGAGTACACGTCCTGGTAATCCGTCTGGCCCTGCGGCCTTGTGAATGTTGACCTGCTTAAAAGTCTTACTCACATCGGCTACGGAGAGCGTGATCACATAGTCGTCCGGAACAGCTGGTGCTCTCATGCATGCTTCAGTGTTGCTTGCCTCGAAGCGAGCATAGAAGTGGTTTAGCTCGTCTGGTAGGCTTGTGTCACTGGGCAGCTCGCGGCTGTGCTTCCCTTTGTAGTCTGTAATAGTTTTCAAGCCCTGCCACATCCGACGAGCGTCAGAGCCAGTGTAGTATGATTCAATCTTAGACCTGTATTGACTCTTTGCCTGTTTGATGGTTCGTCGGAGGTCATAGCGGGATTTCTTATAAGCGTCCGGGTTAGAGTCAAAATTATATAGCCTAATTAGCCTACTCTTGTCTATACAGAAATACCTAAAATCATTCATAAGACCAGAAAGCATGATTTGGAGGATCATAGGATCATTAGCTTATTTAAAAAAAATAAGCTGTGGATTGTTTTAAATCGCATAGTCTGTCGGAAGGGCTCACAATTTGGGCAGCGCACACGGCAAATACCAAATACACCTAAAGAAAATAAATGTTCTGAAATGGCTCTTTTAAGGGTCCATGGAGAACTCTTCCATGATGAAGAACCTTTGAGTTAAGTGTGGGGTTCTTGATGTGGCACCTACGGTTCTTCAGAATTCTAAGAGCTTATTGAAATTTATGGAAGCCTGCAGATGTGTCACTTTCATGGCACACAGAAAATTGGCAAGGGTTAACTAATGTAGATTTTTTTTTGTATAACATTTTTTGTGCTGATTCAATAGTTAAATGAACACTGTAAAAACTTGAATTATCACTCAGTGGTGTAAAATAACCCCTGTGTTGGTGTTAATAACCAGAATTGAACCAAAACCACGCCCATCATTATCATATTTCCTAGCATGCTCTATTGCAGATTGATTTTTTAAATTGTTTGTTTCACTATGTCTTTGCATGTATACTGAACAAAAATATAAATGCAACATGTAAAGTGTTCGTCCCATGTTTCATGAGCTGAAATAAAAGATCACAGAAATGTTCCATACGCACAAAAAACATATTTTGCTCAAATTTTGTGCACAAATTTGTTTACATCCCTGTTAGTGAGCATTTCTTATTTGCCAAGATAATCCATCCACCTGACAGGTGTGGCATATCAAGAAGCTGATTAAACAGCATGATCATTACACAAGGTGACCTTGTGCTGGGGACAATAAAAGGCCACTCTAAAATGCATGCAGTTTTGTCACGCAACACAATGCCACAGATGTCTGAAGTTTTGAGGGAGCGTGCAATTTGCATGCTGACTGCAGGAATGTCCACCAGAGCTGTTGCCAGAGAATTTAATGTTAATTTCTCTACCATAAGTCGCCTCCAACGTCGTTTTAGAAAATTTGGCAGTACTTCCAACCGGCCTCACAACCGCAGACCACGTGTAACCATGTAGGCTCAGGTCCTCCACATCCGGCTTCTTCACCTGCGGGATCGTCTGAGACCAGCCACCCGGACAGCTGATGAAACTATTGTATTTCTGTTTGTAATAAAGTCCTTTTGTGGGGAAAAATTAAGTCTGATTGGCTGGACCTGACTCCCCAGTGGGTGGCCCTGCCTCCCAAGTGGGTGGGACTATGCCCGTTGGCCCACCAATGGCTCCGCCCCTGCCCAGTCATGTGAAATCCATAGATTAGGGCCTAATTAATTTATTGCAATTGACCGATTTCCTTATATGAACTGTAGCTCAGTAAAATCGTTGAAATTGTTACATGTTGTATTTATATTTTTGTTTATTGATTCATTCATTAATCTTATGCTACTCAAATGTACAGAAATAACGTACATTTTTCTAAACTATTCCAATCTGTTACTTGGACTTAATGCACCCATTACTGAAATGGTTGTCCCAGTTTAGATGTTTAGGGTAGTCTTATATCTTAGTCTTCCCAACCCTGGCAGTCATTTTGAATGTAGGTTGCGGGTGAATAAAAATTCAAAATGTCGGATATCCCCACTCTGGCTGGATTCCAATAGGAATTATGCATCACTTTGCAAGCCAGCACAACGTGACTTGCAGGACTGATGTGGACTGTAAACTATGAGTTTCAGGCCACTGTATTAAGTTAAAACTAGGCCCTCAAAATAAGGCCTTATGAAATACTTGAATAATAAAATTAATGACAACATATTCACTTGTCTCTGTCACTAGAAAACACAGTCATGGGTGGTACTGGTAACTCTAAAATTCAATCGAAAGGCACCCTGGGAAATATGCAAATGCTTAAAACCCTACGACAGGGCTATTCAATTCCGGTCCTGGAGGGCCGAAACATTTCTGGTTTTGGATTTTTGTATGGTTCTTCAAAGAACCATCCCATTTATGGTTCTTCAGAGACCCTAAAATGGTTCCCCTATGGCATCGCTCTCAAGAACATTACCTTTATTTTTGCACCTTTGTTTTTAAGAGTGTAGATGATCGTTGACTTGCGAATGTCAGTGAAAGGTCCAGCCAGCCATATCGCAATATTTCAAAATACAATCGCGGAAAAACATAGTTTGAGACTCACACGCCGCCTATGCCTGTAACGGTATACGTTGTTGGACATGGAACTTTAATTTGCATGTAAGTACAAAAATAACAAAATATTGATACCGGGAATGTTGAGTGAAATGTCTATAATAGATATGTGGGCTTGTAATCACGTGAATACATATTGTAACACATAGTGTTGTCACTGGGACTCACATGTGCTGCAGTCCTCTCCAGTGAATCCATGTGGGCATTGGCACACAGCAATGCCATCCTGCACAGAACAGGTGCCTGTGCCACACGGGTTAGGCTCACAACGGTCAGGATCAGCTAGAAAGAGGCAGGGTCAGAAAATAATGGGTTGATTTAGACAATATGCTTACCAGGGGACATTGTTCATTAGCTGTTAGCATATGGTGGATGAAGCAAAGTAAACAATGGCTTATCGTAGATGCTGTAACCAATGGCCTATAGAACACTTCTAAGGTAAGATATGACCAAATTATTAAATATCGTGGTACTATTCCTTTAAGCAACTTACCATCAACTACAGCAGGCTCCTCCACCACAGCAGGGGTCACCATTGTATTGGCGGGTGCTGTTGTTGGGCTAGAGAAGACTGCAGACGGTGCCGTGACATTGATTGTCTCCGTGGGCCCTTCCAGCCCTTCTTGCTCCTGCCCTTCGTGCTCCTGGCCTTCGTGCTCCTGGCCTTCCTGCACCAGGTCCAGGTCATCCCCTCTTCCCGTGTTTCCGATATACTCTGGGTAAGTCATGGTAGAACCAGGGGGCAACACCACAGACAGGCCTTCTGCGACCATTGACTCCCCCAGGGAGAGCCCACTGGCTGAGGTGCTCCCTTCATGGTGGCTACTGCCGTCTCCACTGACCTCTATGTAGCCCCGGCCCTGCTCTGGACGCTGTCGTGTTGTCACCTCCATCATCCCATCTTCTGTCAGGAAGATAACCTCATGGCCTGAGTGGGATCCGTCACCACTGGATGGGAATCCAGAGCCGCTGTGAAAACCGTAAGGATAACCGGAGGCGAAGGGCTGGTAGCCAGAGACCTCCTGCTCTCCCGAGGACTTCTCGGTCAGGTCGATGAGACCTGAATGCTCAAAAGATATGTCGGGAAGTCCAGAGCCAGAGGTGCTGGTCACATCCCCACTGAAGAAGCCACCCGATCCAGAAACTCCACTGGAGCCACTGACATCCACACCTCCTTGTCCAAACTCCTGTCCAGTGGGCTGCTGCTTGGAGATGTCCACCATCTCTCCGTTCACCATGATGATGACAGAGTCCCCGCTACCGCTCAGGTCCCCAGATACCCCGCTGCCACTACCGGAGTGGGGAAGGACACCGGACAGTTGCCCACCGCTGAACTCTCCCACCCCCACCCCGGACCCACTATTCCCAGACCCAACTCCAGGGGGGTAAATGACAGTGGTGCTCCCTTCTACAGCCTCCTGTAGACCTCCAGAGCTAGAGCCCTCTCCTGACAAGATGTGCCCACTGCCCTCGAATGTGAAGCCAGACCCAGAGCCCTCGCCACTGTCCCCACCAAATGTATCTCCGCTACCAGGGGTTTCACTGCCAAAACCACTGGCAGAATGCTCAGCTAAGCCTGAACCAGACACATCCACAGGTGGTATGATGGGGCTCACTGAAAAACCACAGAGAGCGAACAAAGGAAAAAGAACATGTAGTATTAACACACTCTGACTAGAAAACAGCTTATGCATTTTGATTTAACCAGAGGCAAACATGCTAGTATGTAATTCTCTTTCATTCTACTGTTACGTTTGGCATAGTCAGCAGGATAAATGTACAGGAAATACTAGCAGTGATACAGAAATACCCGTTGACCACTTAATATAGAGATCTTTTACCAAGAGTCAATTGGTCCGTTCTGGTTGTCATGTTGATCATTTCCTCCTCGACAACTACAGTAACGTTGAGTCTGGTTTCAGTGTGAATAATCGTATGTTCAGCTACAAAACAAAGAAAACCAACACAATATCATTTTCATGCTTTTAACAGTGGCTGTATTTGGGCTTAATCAGTTTGAGATTTAACAGCCACCCTATTGATGACTCTGAACAGATCCAAACTCATACATACCTCTGAAGCAGTATGCGTCGTATCTGGAGTGCTGGTCGGGGTGTCCCGTCTGGTTGGGGAAGGCGTAGATGGTGTGTACCCCAGCCTTGCCTCCTCCACAGTGGGGCCTAGGGGTGTGGATGGGGTAACGGACGCTGCGGTCCTGCAGCCAGCCTGGACGGCACTTGTCAAAGCCCTGTTTCCAGGCAGCATAGAGCTGCCCTGTGGTGGCTAGCGTGGTGTTGAGCTTCTGACAGTGGGCCATGGCCTCCTTGTAGGAGAAGCTGTCATAGTCGCTGGTGTAGAACAGCTCCCCTGAGAGATGAGGAAGAAGAGAGAGCAGGTGGTTTTACTAGGGCGACCACATGTCCCGGATTGTGTGGGACAGTCCCGCATTTTGTCCCGCATGCTGCCCCAAAAAATTATTCATGCAGGCTACACTGTCCCGCAAATGTAATTCAAAATCATCGAGTTTGGGTCACCACATTTGGGTATTTTAAATGTGGTCACCCTAGGTTTTACTCAGTAGTCACCATCATGTTTGATGGTTCACTTTACATCTGAAGTCTATAGAAGAAAAAGAAGAAGAAGAAGAAGAAGAAATCTCTCAATATCTGAAGCTAAGCTCTGTAGAGAAGAAGAAGAAGAAGAAGAAATCACTTAACATCTGAAGCTAAGCTCTGAAGAAAAAGAAGACAAAGAAGAAGAAGAAGAATAGGGTCCATGCGCCATGAACTGACCCTTGAGGCGGTCCACATAGCAGTAGACATCGTATTGCTCGGTAGCGGGTCTCAGGCCGTAGGACCTCACCCCCGGGAGATGCTCCAGGTTCCCTGAGCACTTATCTCTGGGAGAAAGGATGGGGTACCTGACCACAGGAGAGAGCAAACTGTCACTATCCAGGTAAGGGAAATGGTCAGGATTGATGGTTAACAAAGGAGTTCTACTTCGGTCCTCTTCAGTAAAACAGACTAGAAAGTGGAGTTTCAAAATTCTGGAAACATCCCCAAAGTTCCCAGGTTTTTCAGATATCTCAATCAGAGAATGTCTGCAATCATGAGGGAATATGCAGGGAAGGAATCCTACAACCGGGATTTCTGTAAAACCAGAATTGTACAACCCTACTGAGAGGGCTATCTCACCTGACGGTCTGGTCCCTAAGCCAGCCTGCATCACAGTTGTGGAGCCCTGCCTCGTAGGCTGCCTGGAGCTGCTGAGAGCTGGCGATGACCGCACCCACACTCTGACAGGCCAGCTGGGCCTCCATGAAGGACAGGGCATAGCGACTGGAGCCAGCACGGTAGTGGAACACTACACCTATAGTGAGAGACGGAAGGAGGGAGGGAGGAGTAGGAAGATAAGGGGGTAGATAGAAAGAGGGGAGATAGGGGAGGGAAGAGACAGACAGAACCAAACACAGAATTTGTGTTATTTCGCTTGAAAATGAAAATGGCAACTACGGCAAAATAGAAACAATTTCTGCCATGATGCTGATCAGCACAATCTGCTAACCTGTAGGAGACATGGCAATGTCATTGTCATGAGGGAACTCGGAGGCCATATCAGGTTTAGCTGTCACCCTGCTGATGATCTCTTCCCCCACGACCGGGGTGACCTTGGCATACGTGTCGTTCACACTGGGGAGGATGGGTAAGGGCAGTTCCATGCTGGTGGTGTCCAGGGGGGCTTGGGTCAGAACCTCCCCCTGTGCCTCAGCCTCAGAGGTGGTGGTACGCCCCAGGTAAACCATGGGGCCAGCTGTGATGGTGGCCACCTCTGGGAACGGGGTGGTCTTGACTACACCGTCGTCCTCTGTGAAATAGACCATTGGCAGCAGGAAAAGTTAAAGCCACACTCTGTGTTACTGGAAATCACTCTGGCTTTAACACACCCAAATTAATTTCACAATTACACCTTCAACACTGCCTTTTTTCTTTAAAAGGAAGTGATTCCCTTTTGACGCTTTTCTTTACACTTACCTTCGTAGCAGATAGCGTCGTAGCGGGAGTCTGGGTAGGGATAGCCTGTCTGGTTAGGGAACAGGTACACAGTCCTCACTCCAAGTAGTCCTCCACCGCACTGGGGCCTGGCGATGTTGATAGGGTAGCGGACGCTTCTATCTGCCAGCCAGCCTGCGTTGCACACATCCATGCCAGCCTTCCAGGCCAGGTACAGCTGCCCTGTGGTGGCCAGCTTGGCCCCTAGTTTGGCACACTGGTCCATTGCCTGGTAAAAGGTGAACTTCTCCATGGACATGGAGTAGAACACTCTGCCTGGGGATGATGTAGAGGGGAAGGCAAAGAGTGAGAAACAGAGGCAGGCAGGAAAACAGACAGTTATCTGTTATGATTTCCGCTTCTTACTTCTCAAGCTAATATAATATATTAGGCTAGCTAGTTGGGTAGCTGTAGCTAGCTAGCAAGATTATCATCATGGCATGTATGGCAAGTGCATCAGCAATCAACATCAAGTTGATGCCCAGCTAACGATTCTAGGGAGAGATAACTTTTTTGTCATGTTACCCGTAATGTTCCCCTAATGTTTGAGTGTCCAGTTATCCGTTAGTTAGAGGAACATTCTATCTATGCTAGCAAAAACCTTCGGAGAACCTTTTTAGCATGTTTTGGCATTGCAGTTAGGAAAGCGTTTCCTTAATGTCAAACAGAACATACCCAGAGCGTGGCTGCCATGTTCTCAGAATAAACAATATTAATGTTCTAGGCAAGTTTCATTGGACGTTGCAAGAACATTTCTGTGTAAAGTTTTCTGAGGCTTAAGGGAATATTACATTAAAGTCCCTCCAAACATACACAGAACATGGTTGCCAGGTCTCAGAATATACAATATTAATGTTCTGCCATGTTCTCAGATCATAAGATATTAATGTTATAGACACGTGTCATGGGAACGCTGCAAGAACATTCGTAGCTGTCTATTTACCAGCACAAACTGATGCTGGCACTAAGACTGCACTCAATGAGCTGTATAAGGCCATAAGCAAACAGGGGCAGCGCTCCTAGTGGCCGGGGATTTTAATGCAGGGGAACTTAAATCCGTTCGTCCTAATTTCTACCAGCATGTTAAATGTGCAACCAGAGGAAAATAAACTCTTGACCACCTTTACTCCACACACAGAGACACGTACAAAGCTCTCCCTCACACTCCATTAGGCAAATCTGACCCTAATTCTATCCTCCTGATTCCTGCTTATAAGCAAAAACTAAAGCAGGAAGCACCAGTGACTCGGTTAATAAGGAAGTGGTCAGATGACGCAGATACTAAGCTACAGGACTGTTTTGCTAGCACAGACTGGAATATGTTCCAGGATTCTACCGATGGCATTGAGGAGTACACCTCATCAGTCACTGGCTTCATCAATAAGTGCATCGATGACGTCGTCCCCACAGTGTCCGTACGTACATACCACAACCAGAAGCCATGGATTACAGGCAACAGCCGCACTGAGCTAAAGGGTAGAGCTGCTGCTTTCAAGGAGCGGGACTCTAACCCGGACACTTATAAGAAATCCCGCTATGCCCTCCGATGAACCATCAAACAGTCAAAGAGTCAATACAGGACTAAGATTGAATCGTACTACACTGGCTCCGACGCTAGTCGGATGTGGCAGGGCTTGCAAACTATTACAGACTACAAAGGGAAGCACAGCCGCGAGCTTCCCAGTGAGACGAGCCCACCAGACGAGCTAAATCACTTCTATGCTCGCTTCGAGGCAAGCAACACTAAAGCATGCATGAGAGCATCAGCTGTTCTGGATGACTATGTGATCACGCTCTCCGTAGCCGATGTGAGTAAGACTTTTAAGCAGGTCAAGATTCACAAGTCCGCAGGGCCAAAAGGATTACCAGGACACATACTCCGAGCATTAGCTGATCAACTGGCAAGTGTCTTCACTGACATTTTCAACATGTCCCTGACTGAGTCTCTAATACCAAAATGTTTCAAACAGACCACCATAGTCCCTGTGCCCAAGAACACTAAGATAACCTGCCTAAATGACTACCGACCCGTAGCACTCACGTCTGTAGCCATGGAGTGCTTTGAAAGGCTGGTCATGGCTCACATCAACACCATTATCCCAGAAACCCTAGACCCACTCCAATTTGCATACCACCCCAACAGATCCACAGATGATGCAATCTCTATTGCACTCCACACTGCCCTTGCCCACCTGGACAAGAGGAACACCTACGTGAGAATGCTATTCATTGACTACAGCTCAGCGTTCAACACCATAGTGCCCTCAAAGCTCATCACTAAGCTAAGGACCCTGGGACTAAACACCTCCCTCTGCAACTGGATCCTGGACTTCCTGACGGGCCGCCCCCAGGTGGTAAGGGTAGGTAACAACACATCTGCCACGCTGATCCTCAACACAGGGGCCCCTCAGGGGTGCGTGCTCAGTCCCCTCCTGTACTCCCTGTTCACCCATGACTGCATGGCCAGGCACGACTCCAACACCATCACTAACCCTATCCCTAACCCTAACCACACAACAGTGGTAGGCCTGACCACCGACAATGATGAGACAGCCTATAGGGAGGAGGTCAGAGACCTGGCCGTGTGGTGCAAGGATAACAACCTCTCCCTCAACGTGTTCAAGACAAAGGAGATGATTGTAGAGTACAGGAAAAAAAAGAGGACTGAGCACGCCCCCATTCTCATTGACAGGGCTGTATTGGAACAGGTTGAGAGCTTCAAGTTCCTTGGTGTTCACATCACCAACAAACTATCATTGTTCAAATACACCAAGACAGTCGTGAAGAGGGCACGTCAAAGCCTATTCCCCCTCAGGAGACTGAAAAGATTTGGCATGGGTCCTCAGATCCTCAAATAGTTCTACAGCTGCACCATCGAGAGCATCCTGACTGGTTGCATCACTGCCTGGTATGGCAACTGCTCGGCCTCCGACCGCAAGGCACTACAGAGGGTAGTGCGTACGGCCCAGTACATCACTGGAGCCAAGCTTCCTGCCATCCAGGACCTCTATACCAGGCGGTGTCCTAAAAATTGTCAAAGACTCCAGCCACCCTAGTCATAGACTGTTCTCTCTGCTACCACACGGCAAGCGTTACCGGAGCGCCAAGTCTAGGTCCAAAAGGCTTCTTAACAGCTCCTACTCTTTGTTTATTATCTATGCATAGTCACTTTAACTCTACCCACATGTACATATTACCTCAATTACCTCGACTAACCTGTGCCCCCGCACATTGACTCTGTACCGGTACCCCCTGTATATAGCCTCCCTACTGTTATTTTATTTTACTTCTGCTCTTAAATTATTTTTAACTTAACAATTTTTTTAACTTATTTTTCTTAAAACTGCATTGTTGGTTAAGGGCTTGTAAGTAAGCATTTCACTGTAAGGTCTACACCTGTTGTATTCGGCGCATGTGACAAATACAATTTGATTTGATTTTATGTGTCCAGTTTTCTGAGGGTTAGGAGAATTTTCCATCAACATCCCACCAAACATGCAAAGAACATGGTTGCCATGTTCTCAGAACATATTATATGAATGTTCTAGACACGTTCTAGACATCAAATAAACGTCCCCCCCTAAACATTTTTTAAATAATAATAATATTTTCATTACACATCACGCCTTGTTACTGTTGCCGAGCCAATCAAGGCTCTGATTGGTGAGCCACTGATCAATTCATAGCTCTTTATCTGTTGACATGCTTAGGGATACTCACACACAGTGCGTTTGACATACAGTGTTTTTAACTTACATATTTGACACACTTTGACATTCTTGATTACATTGTGCATGTTCATTTATATAGTAATTATTATTCAACAGTCCTCACCTGGGATTTGAACTCACAACCTCATGGTTCACAGTAGTACTCCAATCTTCCTGCTATGCTACGATGTCTGTGTAAGGTATCAATGAATCAGACTATTCTCTCATCATTGATTTTATTTACTTATTTCAGCAATGTAAGAGCTTTCAGTATAGTTGTCTAATGTTGGTGGGGCATGTTAACCTGTTTTAATGATACTCCTGAATCACTATGATCAGTAAAGGTTTTGCTTGAGTGTACTTTTAACGGAGCTATTGCTTACCACCCTATTGCTTACAGCATTACACCTCTCAAGTTGTTGCAGACCTATCAAGTTGTTTCAGATCAGTGCCTAGGGAGGAGGGGGTAGTGTTTCTTCTGGACAGGACAGGGCCTAACTATACTGGCCCAATAAGCATATTTCTTAGAGATATCCATTATTGGGACAGTGGTTAGGGTGTTTCTTTATTGGTGCTGGTGGCTAGGGCAATCACACTACTCTCACGTTCTTAGCAAAATATGTTAACGTCTTTATTTGGCAACAGTTACAACACACTAACCTGAGCTAAGAAACCCTAACCCCTCCTCACTATAGGCACTTATGTAGATGAAAAAACTTGATAGGTGTAAGCAATAGGGTGAATTCACTGTGAAGTAAAAACAATATTTTATTGATTATAGTGATTCAGGAGTATCATTACAACAGGTTAACATGCCCCACCAACATTAGACAACTACAGAGAAAGCCCTTAAATTAAGGAAATAAGTCAATCAAATCAATGATGAGAATAGTCAGATTAACCGATGCCGGACACGGACCTGGTAGCATAGCGACTGTGAACCAAGAGGTTGGGAGTTCAAACCACAGGTGAGGACATTTATTATTACTGTATAAATGAACATGCACAATGTAAATATCTACATCAAATATGTAAGTTGAAAACACTATGTTAAAAGCACTGTGTGTGATTATCCCTAACCTTGCCAACAGACAAAGAGCTATGAATGGATCAGAACATGGTAACCACTTTCAGGGTGTTCTATTTGACATTAAAGGAATGGTCTCTTGGAAACAGTCCTCGCACATCACAGGAACATTACTATGAAAACGTTAGTTAATGACCTAATGAGACTCTTAAGGGAACATTCTCTAAAGTTGTGGGAACGTTTGTTGCTGACTGGGTGTAGCTCATATTATTCTTTGCATGATACTTTGACTTCAAATTATCATTCTCCTATTCATACGCTATAAATCATGCTTGCATGACAACCATGACAACCATGACAAACTACAATATTTGCTGTTGAGTACCTGACATCTTCTGTGCGAAGCAGTACACGTCATAAGTGTCGTTGACCTCTCTCACGCCATAGGTTCGCACACCCGGGAACTCATCCTTGTCTCCAAAGCAACCCTCACGAGGCTCATGGATGGGGTACCTTGAGTAGATCACGTGACATGGCAGAGAACAAAATGGTCCATACACATGACACATCAATTAGTCTGAAATTATATATATTTTAAAAATCCCAAATGGTTATAACGTTGCTTCATTCCAAACCATGGTTTAGAACCCCCATACTCAATTGGCGGACTGTGGTCCGGAGCCGGACCCAGAACGGGGTCAATACAGATCGCGGGTCCCGACTACCAAATATTTTATTTTAATGAATTTGTGTGTGTGTGTGTGGGGGGGGTGGGGGCTTCTCAAATAGTACTTGAGTACCCCTGGTCTTGAACAACATTTCACATCCCCACACAACCCTTCAGGTTAGTTCATTTCTACTGTATATCCACACTGTGTGTGAAAATATCAAAGATGGCTTTCCTAAATCAGCTATGACTGACAATAGTGCACATGGCTTACCTAAAGCAGTCATGACAGATAACGGTACACAGTTTAGTATGTCAGAATTACCTGACTGTTTGGTCAGATAGCCAACCGGCGTCACATTGGTGGAAGCCATCGTCAAAGGCAGCCTGTAGCTGGGCTGGGGTGGCGATGGTGGCATTGTTCTGGATACAGGCAGCCTTGGCCCTCTCAAAGTTCAGAGTGTAGCGAGTAGAGATGGCTCGGTAGTGGAACACAATACCTGGAGAGGAGAGAACAAATTTCCCTCACTGTATTATTTTTAAGTATTATACAATTTCAGAGGGTAGGCTAGGGCTAGAGGGTAGGCTAGGGCTAGTGTATATATGAGGTAGAGTATTGGATTATGTGCTATTGAAGGGATATTTCACTCCAAAAATCCAACTTTGTCAGATGTGTTTCGAAAAAGTACTTAATATGAAGATGAATCCATGTCCCATGCTACTGGATTTAGCTATATGCCTCAATCCCAAATAATAACCGAATATTTTACTGATTTTATTTGGCACATTCTTTTGTCAAACTTTATTTTTGGAGTGAAATGTCCATGTTAATGTTAATGTGTGTGAGAACCCTCAACGCAATGTAGAGTACATCTGAACCAGAATAAAAGCCAACCTAATGATCGTTTCTTGAATAGCTTAAGATCATACCAACAAAATGCACTCAGAGCCTGTAGTTAAACTCCAAGTCATACCTTGAACCTGGATGTCCACCGAGTCATAGTTATCCTCGATGCCGTGCATGACCTCACAGCGATAGGTGCCTGAGTCCTTGGAGCGCAGCTCCGTGATCTCCATGGTGATGTCGGTGGGCACCAGCGGGTAGTTGGCCATGGTGACCCGGTCTAGGTACTCCGTCTCCACGTGAACTTTGCCCTCCGACGCCACCAGGATGAGGGTTGCCTTGCCCTTGGTGATGTAGGTCCATTTGATGCGGTGGGACAGGGGGGCGACAGTGGGCGTGGCCGGGTCGTTGACCGTGTTGTCTTGGAAGTAGCAGGGCACCACCACCTTGGCGCCCATCAGAGGGCGCAGCGGCACCTCCACAGGGATGCTGACACTCAAGGTACTGTCTAGATCTGGGTAAGATAGTATGAGATGTATTTTTACAGTATATCAGCAGATCATGTAGGGACGATGTTGCCGAAGTGAAGTAGCATGATGGATGTACTGCCCGTTTATTTTCAGCAAAGTGGAGTGAATTCATGTCACTTGCCTGCATTATTCCAAACCCTATCCTAAGAGACTAGAACACTCTTCTACTTTTGCATTTGGTGTCAGTATCCAGTATATAACAGGGGCCCTGTTTGAATAGCTAGAACTGCGTTCTTCCCTATTTGCAATGCATCCTTCCCTATGTCCTTCTTTGATGTTGATTGGATTTGATTGGATGAAAGCAGTGGAGTGGAAATCTTGCATACACCTATTCATGTTAGATCAGTGATTACTTCAAGGAAAGGAGGAAGGAACAATGCTTTTTTAATAGTATTTGAATATGACCAGTGAACAATAGTGATGTAAGCTTACACATACCACCAGGGTCTTCAAAGGATATTGTTGAGGTGATGAATGGCAGAGACACCCACAGTAGGAGCAAGGTGATCATGGTTGACCTGTTATGGAAGAAAAAACTGTCAGTGAAACAAATGGTTGTCTTGTCAGATTTGGTGGGACTTAAATTTAGCCTGGTCAACCAGACTGAGCTCTCATTTTGGTTGACCAGGCTGACTGTAAATGACACGTGGTCCTCTGTAGCTCAATTGGTAGAGCATGGCGCTTGTAACGCCGGGGTAGTGGGTTCGATCCCCGGGACCACCCATACGTAAAAATGTATGCGTACATGACTGTAAGTCGCTTTGGATAAAAGTGTCTGCTAAATGGCATATTATTATTATTACAATGGCCACACATTTTTAATAGGTTTCAATGGTGTGTAAAAAGCCTCATTAGACCACAAACGGTTGCTGTTCTCTGTGTAGCCAGGTGGTAAAAGCACATGGCTGTATTCGTTTATATCCACTAGATGATTGTGATTATGATTTAGACAGAATTTTACTTTATGGTGACCTTGCAGTGATTTCCCTATAACATTATTCTATTTTACATTTAAGCTTAGACAGAATATACAACCACACATTTGTTTTGTGTCCTGTGCTGGGTTTACTTTCACCAGGCAACATCGGTTTAAATGATTCCAACTTGTCTGGTGGGAAAGGTTTTACCAGATAGTTTATTTACATATATTCTTCAGTACAACACAGCTACATTTGCCCCTTAGTGACACTGTATTCACACAGGCTAACTGCTACTATATATGGGCTGGTTGTACTGTGCTTTACTTGGGCAAAGTGGAAACATGTTGTCAAAAGTCACTCTCCCATTCTCAAATACCACACACATGTTCATCAATGAATAAAACCCCTCTGTCCCTGGCACAGGAAATGTTCTCATCGCAAAAATAGAATTTGAAATGTATACAGCATGGGAAGTCTTTATACAGTAGCTTATAGCTACTATAAGCTACTCTATAAAGACTTCCCATGCATACAATTTGTGTGTTTTTTTACAGGAAGAAATTACATTCAGGGCAGTTTTCTAGCGGTTCTCAGATACTGGCCCTTTCAGTGTACAGTAGTCTCTCTACCTCCAGTCACTTCCTCTCTGGCTCGTGAAGAGTGTGTGTGAAATGTATACAGCATGGGAAGTCTTTATTTTGTAGCTTATAGGAAAATGGAAAAACGTGATTCATTTAACCCAATGCATACAATTTGTGTGTTTTTTTACAGGAAGAAATGACATTCAGGGCAGTTTTCTAGCAGTTCTCAGAGACTGGCCCTTTCAGTGTACAGTAGTCTCTTTACCTCCAGTCACTTCCTCTCTGGCTCGTGAAGAGTGTGTGTGCGCGCGTGTGCGTGTGTGTGTGTGTGTGTGTGTGTGAATAAAAGCTGCTTTGATGGTGGATAAAAGCATGCTTTGCGGTTACATGGGTATTCCACATGGGCAGGGATGTTACTGGTCACTTCAGCTGGGATGCCTGGCGCCCTAATGGGTCACTGGGTGGGATCCTGCTCTTCAATTTCCAGGTGGGAAATATGGTAGAGGACAACCTTCCCCAAAATGTGAGGGATGAGAGCGGACACTGTAGACGTTTTAACTCCTGAGCTCCTGAGCCTTTTAGCTCTGAAATATAATTGTACCCATCCTTTCTCATCTCTTTCAGCACACGACACAAAACAATCATCTGTCCCCTGTAGCTCAGTTGGTAGAGCATGGTGCTTGCAACGCCAGGGTTGTGGGTTCGTTTCCCACGGGGGGCCAGTATGAAAATGTATGCACTCACTAACTGTAAGTCGTTCTGGATAAGAGCGTCTGCTAAATGACTTAAATGTAAATCTTGATCCGTTTGGGTGACACAGAAAGGGCTAATCAAAGGCTGTAGATATCAGATTAGCAATTAGAGGTATGGAATGACTTTGTGTCATAGCCTACAGTAGGCAGAGATGGAGTCAAGACCAGAACTCTCATTAGAGTATGGTAAAAGTCTAAAGTGTTACCAAGTGTTACCAATGGTTTCCTACTCTTGAATAGCTCTTTGCGAGAGTAAGCCACTGTAACCCAGGTGTGCCCTAGTAGGAAGACCATTGTGTGCATCGCACCCTGCACTATCAGCTCCAATATAAATAACATGAGCAAGTCTACATCTGATAAGCTTCCCAGTAAAGCATTAAAAGCAACCCAGAAAAGTGCTAAATACAGCCCATATTAACATATGCAGCCTGAGAAACAAGGTCCATGAAGTCAATAACTTGCTTGTAACAGATGACATTCATCTTCTGACTATCTCTGAAACTCACTTAGATAATACCTTTGATGATACAGTGGTAGCAATACATGGTTATGACATCTACCGTAAAGACAGAAATGTCAACGGGGGCGGTGTTGCGATCTATATTCAGAACCACATTCCTGTAAAGCTTAGAGACGATCTCATGTTAAATATTGTTGAAGTAATATGGCTACAGGTTCATCTTCCCATTTTTGTGGGAAGCTGCTATAGACCACCAAGTGCTAACAGTCAGTATCTGGATAATATGTGTGAAATGCTTCATAATGTATGTGATATCAACAGAGAAGTATATTTTCTGGGTGATTTAAATATTGACTGGCTCTCATCAAGCTGCCCACTCAAGAAAAAACGTCAAACTGTAACCATTGCCTGCAACCTGGTTCAGGTTGTCAGTCAACCTACCAGGGTATTTACAAACAGCACCGGAATTAAATCATCAACATGTTTTGATCACAACTTTACTAATGCTGCAGAAATGTGCTTTAAAGCAGTATCCAAATCCATAAGATATAGTGATCACAATATAGTAGCCATATCTAGGAAAACCAAAGTTCCAAAGGCTGGGCCTAATATAATGTATAAGAGGTCATATAATACGTTTTGTAGTGATTCATATGTTGATGATGTAAAGAATATTTGCTGGTCTGTGGTGTGTAATGAGGAGCAACCAGACGCTGCACTTGACACATTTATGAAAATGCTTATTCCAGTTACTAATAAGCATGCACCCATTAAGAAAATGACTGTAAAGACTGTTAAATCCACTTAGATTGATGAGGAATTGAAAAAATGTATGGTTGAGAGGGATGAGGTTAAAGGAATGGCAAATAAATCTGGCAGCTCAACTGATTGGCAAACGTACTGCAAATTAAGAAATCATGTGTCTAAACTAAATAAAAATAAACTATACTATGAAACAAAAATAAATGATATAAAGAATGATAGTAAAAAGCTTTGGAGCACCTTAAATAAAATCTTGGGAAAAAAGGCAAACTCGGCTCCATCATTTATTGAATCAGATGGCTCATTCATCACTAAACCCACTGATATTGCCAACTACTTTAATGACTTCTTCATTGGCAAGATAAGCTAACTTAGGTATGACATGAAAGCAACAAACGCTGACACTACACATCTAAGTATATCTGACCAAGTTATGAAAGACAAGAATTGTCCGTTTGGAAGAGGTGAAAAAATTATTGTTGTCTATCAACAATGACAAGCCACCGGGGTCTGACAAACTGGATGGAAAATAACTGAGGATAATAGCGGACGATATTGCCACTTTTATTTGCCACATCTTCAATTTAAGCCTACTAGAAAGTGTGTGCCCTCAGGCCTGGAGGGAATATAAAGTCATTCCGCTACCCAAGAATAGTAAAGCCCCCTTTACTGGCTCAAATAGCCGACCAATCAGCCTGTTACCAACCCTTAGTGAACTTCTGGAAAAAATAGTGTTTGACCAGATACAATTCTATTTCACAGTAAACAAACTGACAACAGACTTTCAGCACACTTATAGGGAAGGACACTCAACAAGCACAGCATTTACACAAATGACGGATGATTGGCTGAGAGAAATTGATGATAAAATAATTGTGGGGGCTGTCTTGTTAGACTTCAGTGCAGCCTTTGATATTATCGATCATAGTCTGCTGCTGGAAAAACGTATGTGTTATGGCTTTACACCCTCTGCTATAATGTGGATAAAGAGTTCCTTGTCTAACAGAAAACAGAGGGTGTTCTTTAATGGCAGCCTCTCAAACATAATCCAGGTAGAATCAGGAATTCCCCAGGGTAGCTGTTTAGGTCCCTTACTTTTTTCCATCTTTCCTAACGACATGCCACTGGCTTTGAGTAAAGCCAGTGTGTCTATGTATGCGGATGACTCAACACTATACACGTCAGCTACTACAGCAACTGAAATAACTGCAACACTTAACAAAGAGCTGCCTTTTGTTTCGGAATGGGTAGCAAGGAATAAGCTAGTCCTAAATATTTCCAAAACTAAAAGCATTGTATTTGGGACAAATCATTCACTAAACCCTAAACCTCTACATCTCGTAATGAATAATGTGGAAATTGAGCAAGTTGAGGTGACTAAACTGCTTGGAGTAACCCTGGATTGTAAACTGTAATGGTCAAAACATATAGATACAACAGTAGCTAAGATGGGGAGAAGTCTGAACATAAAGCGTTGCTCTGCATTCTTAACAACACTATCAACAAGGCAGGTCCTACAGGCCTTAGTTTTGTCGCACCTAGACTACTGTTTGATAGTGTGGTCAGGTGCCACAAAGAGGGACTTGGGAAAATTGCAGTTGGCTTAGAAGAGGGCAGCACGACTGGCCCTTAAACGTACACGGAGAGCTAACATTAACTACATGCATGTCAATCTCTCATGGCTCAAAATTGAAGTGAGATTTACTTCATCACTACTTGTTTTTGTAAGAGGTGTTGACAAGCTGAATGAACCGAGCTATCTGTTTAAAATATTAGCACACAGCTCGGACACCCATGCATACCCCACAAGACATGCCACCAGAGGTCTCTTCACAGTCCCCAAGTCCAGAACAAACTATGGGAGGTGCACAGTACTACATAGAGCCATGACTACATGGAACTCTATTCCACATCGGGTAACTGAAGCAAGCAGTAGAATCAGATTTAAAAAACAGGTAAAAATACACCTTATGGAACAACGGGGACTGTGAAGAGACACACACAAAGGTACAGACACATGCATACGCACACATTGTGATATTGTTGTATGGTGGTATTAAACATTTTGTATTGTAGATATGTAGTGGTGTAATAATATTATATGATGTACTCTTTTATATTTTGTTTTATATGTAATGTAAGTGCTTTAATATGTTTGGACCCCAGGA